CCTCTCAAGCATATCTTCGGTTATTGGAACACGACTCTGAAAAACACTCGTATACAGGAAGAAAAAGAGATATGATGGATAAAAGCCAAGTAAAACAAACCTGTGTAACAGGTTCATACATAAGCCTATCGGGAAAGTGAAAGAGTCGCAAAGTGCTAAAAGTTTTCAAGCGCCCTTCTGCTCCTGAAGAGTCTGGTTTTTGTCTTGATATTCCTTCACCACTTTCTTCTAACGATTCTGGTGCGTCAAAAAATTCATCCCCTTCTGCAAAAATAAATTTAGTCTAATCTTAAACCTTCCACAAAGCCGTTCGAAAGACTTCGCCCATAAGTTGGATCAAGAAATCAACGTATATACCTGACTTATACAGTTGCCAGTTCTGCATAAAAAGGTTTTTCGATTCACGCCGTTTTTTAGCTTCAATTGCACATTGTAAAAGCTGTAGATTCTGGTGAAGTTTACAGGTAGATAAATTGGGAGCTAGAGACTCATCCAATCTACAAAAGCTTATTGTCCAAAAGAAGTAGAAAAAAAGTTTGTGGCAATGGAGTACGAATATTACAAGTGTGTACTATTTGCATCATAAACATAACTGCTCTGATATTTAATAAATTTAATAATACATACCCAGGGACGTATAAATTTTTTTCATAATATTCCTGCAGTTCGTACGTAATAGCTGACCATAAATGAGAAAATCCGGCTAATGAATGGTTCGGAGCACACAACATTTGGGCAAGCGCAACAGAGATGCGACAAGTTAAGCTGGATTCAGGAGCCGATTTACATGCGGATAATATATTCTTCAAGAACTCATAAAATTAAAATGAGCATGCTGTTAATTACACAACATAATGGAAATGCAAGAAATTAGCATCCTAGAGTTTGAATAAGTCCGACCAACATAAACTTAAGTAACAGTGATGGATATCAAAGTTCAAACTGGTTCGATGAAGAACACGCCCATTACCATCGTCACAACTTCAATAACGTCTTATAATAAAAATTTCATATGAACAAGCAATGATAGTGTGAAATTCACTTGCACTTTGGACATTTTGGCAATAACATCGCAAGACTTTATTGTAAGTACACTAACTGAATAACTTACGCTAAGTTTTTGGTAAATGTCCATTGTGTTACTATCCTCCTTTATGCTTTCGGTATGATAAGCTTTCGAGCACTGTACATTTTTAACAGCACTACCTGGGCCAGGACTCGATGCTCCTCCCGAGCACACCGATTCAACATCTACAGTGCATGAAGTGTTACAGCCTGGCAAAACATGTTCGCACTTCGTCTTTTCAAACACTTTATCAACCCAATGCCGAATAATATCCTATAAGATGCTTCAAATTTCAACAGATGGGAATGCTTCAATCTATAAGTAATTCAGAAAGGAGGAAAAAACAGTAATAAGGAAGACATAAACGTACAGGTTCTAAATCATTTCTACTTGTTACGCGGTTTGTGCTCCTGATTGAGATGTTTTCTGGCACGGTTGGAGATAACAGTGAAGACAGTGCCCGACTTGCATCCTGCTTTGAATGCTCCCGTTTCCGAACCAAACTTGAGCCTTCTTGAGATTCAGCAGCTTCTAACAATTTTCTCAAGCAGGAACCTTAAGCAATAATAATTTAAACCTGCCTTCCTCTTGAGCTAGCAATTCATCGATAAACTTTATTACTGGATGATCACCCTTAATTCCTACATTTACATTGTCTTTGAAAAACAAAACCGATCAAAAAATGAAAGTTAAAAAAAGCCATGCCAGAAATGGAGTATTCCTCAAAATATAATAACATTTAAAGGATATCGCATCTGAAGAATTTCAAAAACCTCAAAGCCTGTTTATGTATTCAGTAAAAAAAAAGTGGAAAGGATGAGTTGAACATGAGAGATTTTGAGACAGTGATTTCTGGGAAAACACATATAACAGGAACTGATGGAACTTTATAAAATCTAAAAACTACAACTTACTCATTAGATATGATGCATTTTTCTGTATTGAAACCCATGCACTCCAAGCTAAGGCTCTCTGAGGGTCTAAATTGGACAGGTTCTGTTCTTCCACAGCAACCCCTCTTTCAATGTTCGACCAGATTGCAGATAAACCAAATTCCCTGAAATAATAAGTGGAAACTTTGATATATACTGACAAGTAGCTTTAAACCATATTTGGAAATATGAGATTTAAAGTTAGATACTTACTCAATTGCGTCTGTAGCAGCACCAAACGGAAGATGAGAAATATCAATAATGCCTTCGTTTTTTGCTGGTACCAATTCTTCCTCTATCACCATATTTTTTTGAGGCAATGCATAACAGGGTTTATCCTTAATATAGATCAAATAATTTGAATTTGCTAGTATTTGAAAAATAAGTATTCCAACTAAATTGTGCAGTAATTTGAGACAGACCTGGAGGATATAATCGAACTGCATAGATATCCGTAGATTGCCCTCATCCATTAAGGAAGACTGCTGAACAGCAAATTAATTACCTATGCACAAGAAGTATTGTATGTATAGAATATGTAAGGTCTGCTTCATTTTTTATTAAAAACTAAACTTGACCGAATAAGGAATAAACAGTAAAATATACCAAAGTTTCCCTAAAGATGTCTAAACATCCTGATAAATGACATCGTAACGGGTGGCCTCGACGCTGGTGAACAGACTCGAAATTAGTGCGCATGGAGTTATTTTGACAAATACCAAAATAGAGCTGTCGTTCTCTTTCACCATACTGTACAAATATTGGTAAAGCACTGAAAGATGCTTCAACGTTTTAAACAACGTAGTTTCTAGAAGTCAGCAAACTAAACCAATTCATTGGTTATGATGCAACATACAATAAAGGAAAACACCAAAAACATAATAAGCGATACAATCCAGAGCTAGAGAGATTTGGTAATGACCCTCAAGCAAAAATAACTCCCAACTAAGTGATATCAAAACCATACCATCCAGCTTTTCCAGTAGATTCTGTAATAGATGATAATAGTCCTCGTAGCTGGTCTTCATTCGACACCTTGTCTAAATGCCAGTCAGACGGTGTCAATAAAATGAATTCGAGGACTCCAAACTGTAATAACTACAAACCTATATCAGCAATACATATGAAGAAGGCAAAACAATTATTTCAAGTGTCTTCGCCCTAAATCACACATTCTGAATGAATTTTTTTACCCACTTGATTGCAAATAATGGATCCTGGACAGAAGTCCGTCTCAGACGACCAAAACAGTCGCGCAGCGTTGCTTAGAAAAGAATCCGAAGCATCCGCATTAAGCACATCTAATTTCGTTGTTTGTTCGCTTCTTTGGAGATTTTTTGGCCAGTAATGGGTGACAAACAAATGATTGTTTCCGTATGTAACCTTATCATACTTCGAATCCCACTGGCATTCCGCTAATGCTACCTGAAACATGCATTCACTGCACAGAATTCTACTGAGAATTTAATTAAAAATTCCGTACCTTTGTAAAGGTATAGTTGTTCCCGTTGTCGCCAATAAGCTCCCATTTACGTAGTAACTGTTCCAATTCAGCACACAAACCTTCGTTGATTGTAACAATAGTGAAATCTTCGATTTCAAAAATGTCGTCATCGTAACCCTTTTCACCGGAGGACATTGATGCTAAAGCCATATCAGACTGTTATCCTGCAACAGTGCTGGATATCTTATATTCGTCCTCTTATCTCTTCAGTTTATCGCTTCACACTGCCTTACATTACACACAGCTTAAATCAACCTTCCTCCTCTTATTTAATTCCAGTTCCACTTTCAGGTGAAGTTCTTCTTCCTTTAACCGGGTACAGTGACGTGTGCCACGACCCCCAATGAACCCAATTGTGATAGATGTGCAACGACGTCCGCTACTCTTTGCGTGTAACTTACTCGTTAGCGATTGGTATTTAACGCAGCCGACAATATGCTTTTCCTAGCTCTACGTGAAAGGGAAGAGTATGGAGAGTGGAGTAAAGAAGGCTGGAGTGGAGATAACAGGGACTGGTAAGAACTGTTGGGGACGACACTGCAGAGGCTGTGAAGGTGGCTGAAGACGTGGTTGACAACTATGCTAAATAGCAAATGTATCACTGAAGCTAATAATTACAAGTATGGGTATAGACGTACGATCTGCTGCTTTGCATTTCATTTTGCACTTGTTACAATGCAGTTTTGATGCTTACTTGCATTTCAGCTTCTTTCTTTCTTCGGTTTCCATTGTCGGAGTGAATGTTAGACAAATATGTAAATATTGTCAGCTTTCTTCAAAAACTTATTCATTTTATAAGTAATGTATCCATAACTATCAGTTCATTGTCCATTTTTAACGAACATTTTGAATCGACTCTCATCAGCCTTTACATAGATCCTGTCCTATCTCGACTATTATTCATTCGGTGTTTTCATAAATTGGAAGATCAGCATTTAACTGATCGATGTAAACTGAAAGATCGTCAAAAAAAAAAAAAACTAATCAGCTTCAATGAATTCTAAGAATATTCGACAAGAAGCTCCACTTTCCAAGTATGGAAATATTATTCATTGCCGGAAGTTGACATTTAGTCATTCAGCTAACTAGTGACACATGCATGCATAGCAACAACATTATATCTCGATATCATTAATTTGTTGACCGAAAATAGATAAGCCGAAATCGCGAGGGACCGATTTAGTTGAGTTTGGACAGAGGGATGAATGCTACCCCACAATTTGATGCCTTATCGTTACTCCCAATTGGTTTAGCGAACTTTTCTACTTCGCTGCTTCCTCTCACTTTTTTCTTCTATGACTACCTCAAGAAAGCTTTACTTTTTAGTTTAGAAAAAACCTAAATGGTTAAGTTAATATAGACTGGAACAGGTGAGTGAATTAAAAAAGGTGACTAAAAGAGAACATTTTTTAAATAGATCACGTTTACGGCTTCATTTATTCGAATATAATTATAAGAGTATTATGAAATGACGTTGAGGTTCGTGAAAATTTTCCTTCTATAAATCACGATTTTTCTGAGGTCAAGGGTTGTCGGCCATTTGAAAGGTTTTTTGCTATTGATTTGAAATTATCACTGAATTCATGTTTCATAATAATCAATGAAATTAAAAAGTAAAACGTAATATAAATAAATATCAGAACGTAGGAATACGTAAGCACGATCAGTGCATAACAAGCTTCACTGCAAATTGTAAGAATATTACAAATCCTATCCACACAATCTTTTTTATGATATTTTTAAAAACATAATCTGATATAAGTGCTTGTGTACTGCTCCATAAGATTTCGTTTACTAGAATGCGTGGTCAGAGTTCAACGGGATCCGTTTTGAGAACTTTTTGAGCAAGCGGCATTGTCTCATTTAAACTATTATCGATCATAAATAAGTTTTAATCAAATTTAATTTTAATGCAGCAGTGTGTTCCTAAAATGTTTGGAAAGGAATATTAGTACATCAAATTACAGTCAAATGTAGTTAGTCCACTAGATTTATTTAAATTTATATCTGTCCTAGCGCTTGCATGCTTAGCAGTGATGATACATATAACGATGTATATTTTTAGTGATCTGAAAAGCAACAACGAAACTATGGCTCTCCCAGAAGAGCCGCTGTCGATTCCAGACCTACATTGTCGATCTCGAAGTTCGCCGGCGCATTACTCGAATACAGCTATACCCTTGAACTATTCCCGTTGTGACATGGTTCGTTGCCTTTCATTCAGCTTACTCAGGACTTGCTCAAAGACAAAAAAAAAGCGTCGATCTGAAAAGGTCGAAAATGAGAAACTGGATTTATGGAGGTAACATTGTTCGTTCTCAACATTTTTGGTCATTATGAGAGAAATCAAAGAAGTGTTGGACTTTTTGAACTTGATAATTTTATGGGAACATCAGTTGGTTGGTTGAATGTATGTGAAGCAAAGTAATGCAAAATATAAACTGGGAAGAGAGTTAAACAATTACGTTCTGAGCTACCCTGCTGTGAAGAAACTTATTATAATTGCTAACCACTAGTATTACTAAAATTTCATCTAACTAGTGTAACTCATTAGAAAACTATTATTGGGGGCACTTTTCATCATCAATACAGTAAGTAAATGTCAGGGAGTTTTGAATTGCGAAAAACAGAATTTTCCGTCATAAATCAACAAATAATTCCTGTGTCTTTCAAGGTATGAATGATTCTTGTCCAGGTTTATTTCTAAATGTTCATTGCAAGTTTCGGAATCTGGTTTCAGTTTTATTAAATTAAAAAAAATCTTTCATTAAGGTAGTAATAGTAAAACACGTTTTGCTACCCGAACCAGTCCTCTTTCCTATATTTCTCTTTCAAGAAAAATATAACTGGAAGCATAAATATGAGCTATTTCTTTGTTTTAGAATCAGAATCAGAACTCCCCTTTATCTCCAATTTTCTGCTTTCATGTGGTGAAAGTTTTTATTAAAAGAAATATGCATTTTTAACAGTTTGAAATCTGATATTTTGTGCAGTAGAGGCTAATAAAAACAACAGAGGTATACAAATTTTCGCGTATTTCTCCCCACAGATCTCTCAAAATTTATTTAGTGTCCAAAATTGAACCCTGCTAAAAAAATTTCTTTAAAGGTCAAATACCGTCTTATTAACACATAAAATTTGTTATTATCTATAATAGATGATGGGAAAATCCTTAAAATTGCCAAAAATTTATTTTTAATTCTATTTAAAAATTGCCGCGTCATTCTCATCTCCATGTAAGTTAGTAAGAAATATAAAGGCGAGCATTCATTGAAGAAAATATATTCACCACAACTCTTATCTTTGATCTATTCGTCAAAATTTGAATTTTAAATGTGAATTTCCTGGAAATCTGTGATCATCAGACCGATTCACGTTTTTCTTCGCTTATCCACAGTCCTCCCTTTCTGTGAATCATGCTGATTTAACTATTTAAACTGGGAATTATTTGTTAAGAGACTGCGTGTTTTAATACAACTTATTGGCTTTACTGATAACAACAATAATTTTGTTGATATTATTATTTATTATTATTATTATTATCATTATCATTATTATTATTATTATTATTATTATTATTATTATTATTATTATTATTATTATTATTATTATTATTGTTATTATTATTATTATTATTATTATTACTATTA